CATTTTAAAGCATTTTGTTGCATCATTTTACCTAAATTGTGCGTTTAAAGTGGCTGACAATAATTTTGGCTAATTTTGGTTTTCGTTGTTTTCTTTGCTTTGTTTACTTTTCGCTCGTTTTCCAATGAAACAAGATGGCGTAGAATCATGATTCAACAACTACAGGTTGTAGCAATCGTACAAAAACAACATTTACCGTTGGTATGAACTCCTTGTGTCATCAACATCTTCTATATCTATCCATATTCGTGTGTATATGTATACCCTGCATACCAGGATTTCATAGAATTCTGAAAGGTTTCACAATTTTTTTAAGAATTTTCTTTAAGAAATCATAAAGAAATTTCTTTACTAGTTCTTGTCAATGGCTTCATATGTTTTTCTTTACAGATTTCTAAAAGAATTGTAACAAATTCCCGACACTCTTTAAAGATTTCGGGAGCATGTGTTTGCAGGGTATATATATACGTATATGTGTATGTATACGCGGATATGTAAATAAAGCAAAACAGACGATAATTTGACACAAGCGTGCTCATAAGAAGAAGCATAGCTTCTATCGCTATCACCTGTAATTGATGCGCCTTGCGTAGAATCCGCTAGAAAAGTCGACTTTTTTCACTCTCGTTCTTATGTAGCGTTTTTGCTGCATTTAAAATGCAACATTTAGCACTTTCGAACATATGTTTTCGAAGAGCGTTCATGCTATAGCATTTAGCAAATGTACATTTACGCGAGTTCGAAATCGTATGCTTTTGACAAACAGCCGTGTTCCAGTCTCTTATTTAGATCCCTATATATTACGATCAATTCTCACGCAGAAGATAATGTGCAAAAACCCTACTGAAAAGGAAAAAATAAATTTTAAACCTACAAAAACTTGAATTGTTTTAACCATAACCGAACATTTGTTTGTGTATATATTCATTTACCGGTGCTGTCAATTAAAATTTCCTCACTTAATTAGGAAACAAAACAAACAGAGTTGATCATAAATTGATCCTGATTTCTATCAGCATCACATCGATGTTGAATTTGCTTAACTTTTCTTTATCCAAATATGTAATGTAAAATAAAAGAAATCTCGATCGACGATCACTGAAACGCAGCTAGCAACTGTATTGTGGCGAATACTGCGGCAACACAAAGCGAACAACGAGAAATAGGCA